GGTGAAGGAGGAGCTGGCATGCCACCCAGGTCCATGGATGCCAAGGTACCCTTCCTTCCGTTTCCTCCTGGGGTGCGTGTCAACACAGGTAGGTAGGCTGGTGTCAGATCAATAGGGCAATCTTCAACCAGGCCAAATCCTGAGAGTCTTTCTGTGGTTATACAACCCATGTTTCTGATGATGTTTTCTAACTTGGTCGAGATATAATCAACGCATCACATTTTTTGTGTACATGGAAGCTGACTTGCCACACTCAATACACGGTGGTCCCCATTATATGCGGTTTGGGTTCAGTTGCCTGCAGTCAACTACAGTCCAAAGATATTATGTATAATAAAATATATTTTTAAAGATTTATTTATGCATATAGGACTGGGGTACAGGCCAGAGGTGCAGGGGCAGTGAGAGGATTCACCAGAGACAGAATGGGGAGCAGAACGGGTCAACTGATGAAGTACACTGCTGAGGGGAGCAGCGGGCGGGTCAGGAGAGGTCTGCCTCGCCATATGGATCTCCTCCCGGGGCAGGCGGGGATCGAACTCATGCGGAAGTGGCTTTAGCTTCTTAGTGCTGTGCTATAACTTGCTGCATCACCAGGGAGGGCCCCATAATAAAATATTTTTGAGACAAATAAACCACAGTCACCCAACTTTCATTACAGCATATTGTTATAATCATCCTATTTTATGAATCCTTGTTAATTTCCTACTGTGCCTAATTTATCGGCTAAACTTTATCATAGGTATTATGGGAGAAAATAGTGTGTATATATATATATGTGTGTATATATATGTATATAGTGTATGTATATACACACATATATACACATATGCACATATATATGTATATGTATATATACATACACTATATACGTGTGTGTATACATACATACACACATACATATACTATATACATATATATAGCCTGGTAAGATTTCAGACATCCACTGGGGATCTTGGAACAGATCCTTGCACATAAGGGGAGGGGAGAAGTACTGTATTGCAAAATGATTATCCTCATATCATTAGTAAACACCTCCATCATGTCATATAACTACCTATTTGTGTGTGTGGTGGAAACATTTAAGATCTACTGTCTTGAAGTTAGTCTCAGTGCTATCACCTCTATGGCCTGAGTTCAAACCCCAGCCTGGCACCTGTCCCACCCGCTGCTCCTCAGCATTATATTTCAGTGAATCCATGCATTCTGATTCCCACTCTGTCTCTGGTGAGCCCTCTCCTCTTCCCCCTCCCCCAGCACCTCTGGCCTACATTCCAGGTTTTCTATGCCAAAATAAATAAGAAATTAAAAAAATCTACTCTCCTAACTCCCAAGTAGACGATACACAGTGTTGTGAACTATAATCCCCATTCTGTACATCAGGCCCCAGAACTTACTAGACTTATAACTGGAAATCTGTGCCCCTTGACCAACATCTTCCCCAGCCCCTGCCAATCACGGTTCTACTCTGTTTTTTCTTTTCTTTTTTTTAAAGATTTATTTATTTATTCATACAGAACTGGGGTACAGGCCAGAGATGCAGGGAGGGTGAGAGGCTTCACCAGAAACAGAGTGGGGAGCAGAACAGCAGATTGATGAGGGGAGCAGTGGGTGAGATAGGAGAGGTCTGCTGCGCCATGTGGATCATCTCTGGGGCCTGAGATCAAATTTGCACTGAAATGGCTGCAGCTAGTTTGCAGTGCTGCATCCTAACCCATTACACCACCAAGGAGGGTCCATTTTCACTTCTTTAGATTTCACATGCATGTGCAATCTGACAACATTTGTCTTTCTCTGACTTCTTTCACTTAACATAATGCCCTCAAGCATCACCCACATTGTCCCAAATGGTGTTCCTGATTATTTCAAATTGTATGTCTGGATTTGATGTGGGGAGGACATTAACTGCTCCTTGGAAATTTATTATCTCCCTTCTTTTCACAGAGAGAGAGAGGTAACCTCAGTCTTTATACCTCCTGCAGGCAGGAGGAGACCTGACTACAGTAGATTTAAAACTGGTGTCTCAGTTTCTGGACATGACTGACATTTGGGGCTGTTCTGTCCCTGGGCTTCACACATTTGATGCCTGTGGTTCCCCCTCCCCTAGTCCTGACAACCAACAGTGTCCCCAGACATCGTCCAATATCCCTTGGGGAGCAAAGTGCACCTGTGAGAAGTGCTGGTGTATGCACAGGTTGAGATGGGGGGTCCCACTTAGTGTTCATTCTTCTGGCTTGCCCTGCCAGTCTGGGCACGGCTCCCAGCATCCACAGCCTCTCTGCACACCTGGGCCCAGCTCAACTTTCATGGAGCCCCAGGGGACCCAGGTGTTGGAGAACCTGGCTGGTCCCTGGGCCCCAATGCAAGCACCAGGAAACCACAGTTGCTGTGGCGACTGCTGAGCTCAAGGAGCTGGTTGGCTCAGGGGCAAAAGGCTGCTGTACCCGGAGGAGCCAACAGTGAGGTGCTGTGGCTGGGAGGCCACGTCCAATGTCCTCCCGTTAGCATTTACAGTGCAAACAGAGCAGTGGGAGCAGCAGGTGCAGCTCCCCAAGGGGGCTGGCAGTGACTGGGAGTGCAGGTTGCTGAGGGGGCCTCAGGGAAGATGGGATCTTCACTCCAGATGGCCCCGCTCATCTACCCTCCCCGGGAGGCCACCTGGCCACTGGTGTGAGGTCTCTGAAGCCCAGGTCCTTTCCCCGGGAAGGATCATTCAGGGGGTTGGACAGCATGAGCCTGGGCCCCCTCAGCCCGGGCACCCGCCGCCGGCTTCTTCAGGGTCAGGCAGGCCCCCTCCCAGCATCTCGGTCCAGTGGTGTGGCCATCTTCATCAGCTCCACGGTGTCGGGTAAGGAACCGGGCAGGGCAGGGGCTTACAGGCAAGCAGACACTCTCGGGGTGCCAGGGCAGTGGGTTGGCTCATAGGGTCCCTTAAGTGATCTGGATGTGCAGCCTGGCCAGTGACCCAGGAGGGAACCAGTGAAGGGGTGTCCCAGACCCTCAGTTTCTTTTTCCATAAACCTGGCTAAGAACCTGATTTGCTAGCACTGCTGTGAGTGGTTAATACTGCAGTGAATATTTATGATGAATATACTTTGCCCTGGGCTTAAACAGTAGCTTCCCACCTGTATGAGACACTACTCACCTCCCCAATTTTATCTTGTATCACCTTCTCTTCACCCACATGCTGCAGCTTGTATCACCTTCTCTCTACCCACATGCTGGGGCTTGGAACCCATCAAGCCCCAGGCCTCATAATCTGTAGTTATTCAGCTTGTATGTTTGTGTAATGTCTGGCTCCTCTCACCAGGCTAGAAGTTCTATGAGGGCAAAGACTGCCTAGAGGGGTATGCTAATAAATATCTAATGAAATTAATTCTTTTAGTTAAATTAAAATAGGAAAAAAATATTTAATTAAAAAATTAGTTCCCCCCCAAACTGAGACAACATCTGAACCCAGCTTTGTACTGTCTGCCAATTTCCATGGTCAATGTTGACTTGTCAGTGTGACTTCATTTATGGGGGAGCTGGGTGAAGATGTGGGGTAGGCCATTCTCTAACACTTCACTGACACAAAATCAATAGTTGTAGCCAACTTGAGTTCAAGGTCAAATGTAGCAACGTTTAGAAGTAACAACATGTATATCAATGATCTCTACTTTTACTATAGGTGTTCTACTGTAATCTCTACTTTTACGATAAAGTTCAATTCACTTAATTTTTATAGTGACTGTGTGAACAATGGACTCAAAAAGTTCTTGGAACTTTAGCAATTGGCTGTCCAAGCCAGTAGGGGCTTGCCCTGGTGTGGTAGTGGCCAAGGACATTTCATTTGTCATTGTGCTCCTGGAGGTCGGCAAGGATCTGGGCATAAAATAACTTCCTAATAGATACGCTGTGGACAAATGTGAATGACTTGTGGAATCTGTAAGACATGCAAGGCTCAGGAAGGCGTAGGAGACAGACCCAAGGTTGTTGTCCTGGTCGCTGCAGTATCAGCACCTAGGCCGCATCTTTGCACCAGCAGCATGGATAACCCTTTCACACCAGTGGCTCCCCTCACCCCCGTCCCCCCGACCATGTGGAGGAAACAAGTTTCTTCAACAGCTGCATGGCACTCAATGCTTTTACTCATAAGATTCAGTGGCTCAACCAGCATTTATTGGGCTCCTGAGTTAAGTGCGGAGCAATCAGGGATAACTAAGATGGGCAGCTGTTCTTGACTTGGGGCGCTTGCACTCCTGCAAAGCAGAGGCATGACCCCATTTTACAGCAGGGAAAACGGAGACTACAGGGTGAGGTCAATGGTGGAGACGGTCTTAGAATCCAGGTTTGCCCTGAATAAGGCTGTCAGTTTTAGTAAAACCTCAAAATCCCAAACAACAAACCGAGGACATCCAGTTAAATTGTGGTAATAAACAACCCTTTAGTGTAGTAATCCCAAACATTATATGGTACAGTACCTATCTATGCTATCACATAATTTATTATTTATCTGAAATGCATGTTTAGCTGGGTTTATCAGGTATGCAAATGTACCCAAATAGTGCATGGAATGGTACATACTGATCAATCCAATTATGTGTTATTTATGTGAAATATGACTGAATTATCAGAAATGTAAATGTACTCAAATAGGGTGAGGAATGGGATATACTTAGGTTACCAAGTTAAACTCTGTTTATCTGAAATGCACATTGACACACTTATCTTGTATTTTACCTGGCAACCCTACCTAAAGGTGACCAGCTCCTAGTTAGCTGAGACTAGGGGGGTTTTCTGAAAACTGGGATTTTCAGCATTAAGGGGGGAGGGGATATAGGAGGGGAAGAAGTCCTGGGGCCGGGATGGCTGGTCTTTCTGGTTTATCCTGTGGTTTTAGTATCTCTGATTCTCTGTGAAGGACCTGAGCCTTGGTGGGAGTGGAAGCAGCGGAGCTCTGAGGCAGGGAAGAGTCCGGGATTCTCCCCACTAACCTCCTCGCTGTGTTCCTTGCAGACATGGACGCAGAGAGAGAAGCCCTGCAGAGTGCTGCCTACCCTGAAGTGCAAAGCTTCTGTCAGAAGCACGGCCTGATGTTTGAGGTAATGACCTGCCTCAGTTTCCACTACCCTGAACTTAGGAAATGAGGCTGTGTGACCTGGGCAGAGTGCACCAAACTCAGTTTAATGTTTTGCTGTTGAGTCATGAAATTCAAAACAGTTTTTGAACATGAGTCCCACCTTTTCTTTTTGGAAAGGACCCAGCAAATTTTGTCACCCTCCTGGTGATGGAGTTCCTCTGAGAGGGTGGGGTCATGGCCACGACATGGCAGTCAGCACAGGCTGTGTGGGTACTTTGGGGATCTGTTCCTTGGTCGCTTTATGGCCTTTCGTTGTTGTTTTGTCCAGTCCTTCAGGCCTCCCTGGATCGGGGCAGCTTCAGGGGAGGCTGAGATGTTATGGGATAGTCATGGTGGGTGGGAAGAGTGACGTGCCTTTTTCTGGGGTTCTACCCCTGCTAGGCACAGTCACCATGGACTCCAGAGTCTCCACAACTCGTGCCTAGCCCAGGGTGGGGATGCAGGACCCGCAAAACATCTTTGGAGTCTTAGCTTCAGCTAAGATTGCCTCCTCTTTATCCATCACATCCTCAGGCCCCTTCTGAGGCTCAGCATCATTTACAAATATTTCTCGAAAAGAAGCAACACCAGAATTCTACTCTGTCCACTTCTGGTCAGGATTCATACCTCAGGGCAGGGTTGCTAAAAAGGAGGACAGCCAAGAACTGGGGAAGGGTCTGTGCTTGTTCCTTTAAGGCCCTCGGGGTGCTTAGCAACCTCAATGCACCACTGCAGAAGGTGTGGGAGACCAAGCTTTTGCCCCAGGCTGCTCCTTGAACCTTTTCTTTCTCCCTCCTTCCCACTACTTCACTAAGAATCTATGTCTTTCCTTCTGGGCAAAAGAATTTAGGGAGCAGGGACCATTCTGAGTCTCCTGTACCCCGCCACCCTCCCCAGCTGTCCACAGGGTCAGCTTCTTTCTCTACTTGAATGGAACTATTCTGTCTGCCCCACTTTGGCCGGCAGCAGAGCAGAAAAGCCCTGCGAGTGGGCGCTTGCCAGAGACTTTGCTACATCCAGTTTTGCCCAAACCAAACATCCTCTTTTACAAAGAAAACTTTGAACAAGTGTGGGCATGTTCTTGCTTAAAAAGGAAGCTGAAAATGCCCAGTTCTTTTCAAACTTTAAAAAAAAATGCTTGTAAGCAAATTTTTGACTTTGGAATTTACATTTACACAAAAGTTATATGTGGCAAGCGCTCCTATGTACACCCCATGTTTTTCTTCTATTGTGAGCATCTTATATTATCAGGGCATATCGTCCTAACTAAGAAATCCACATCTGCCCACTACTATTAAGCAACCTCCTGACATTAATCGGGTACTCCTGGTTCTTCAGTCATGTCTTCTGTCTCCAGAGACACCATCTCAGGAACCCTGTCCCCAGCATGCTCTGGTCAGCACCCACATTTGCGCTTTACTGTGACCTTGAAAGTCTTGGGGAGATTGTTTGGATGTCCCTCGGGGTGCCCCCAACCTGGGTCTGTCTGATATTTTTCTCTGGAATACATTGGGGTTATGGGTTTCATTCAAGCCCTTTTAATCCAGACATTGCCCTTTGGAGAGAAATGATCAAGAATTATTGAAAACCTTTATGCCTTTGTCAAAAGGATTTTAAAAAAATCACTCATTCTACCACCTCTCTGATAAATCCACTCTTGCCATCTCCAGGTTGTGGATCTGAGGTGGGGTATTCGAAACACTGAAGCCACTAATCACATGACCCCAGAACTCTGCTTGGAAGAGCTGGATCGGTGTCAGAAAACATCACTAGGGCCAACTTTTGTTGTAAGTTTCTCTCTTAGCTCTTATGCTCCTCCAGAATATGGCCCTGAATATGGCCCTGCTTCCTGGTCAGCCCATCAGTGGCGGGATGTGGGTGGCCTGTCTGAATCTTACCCACTCCCTATGGCCTGCACATGGCAGCCATTGGAAGGGATCATAGGCAGAGGGCCTGGGATCAAGACATTAACAGTCAAGGGGAGGCAGGTAAGGTAGAATGTGGAGGCCCAAAGGGATCTCAGAATTTGGGCTGTACTTCTCCCCCTATTCTCTGTATGTCCATGGAACTTTGGGGACTAGGAAAAAAATAAAGGTGGGAATTTTTTCTCCCAACATCTTTGATGTTCGGAATGAGCTCTCCTCCTTAGGCACAAACTTCCCCAGACTCTAGGTAGACCAATATCTCCACTTTACAGGGTCTTCTTTCCTCCCTCCCAACTGCATCCCCTCTATTACCTAAAATAACCCCTAACACACAAACACACACACACACAAAACCCATTTGGACTGTGATAAGCAAGTGGTATTCCAGAGTTTTTGTTTTAAAAATTTATTTATTTATGCATACAGAACTGGGGTACGGGACAGAGGTGTAGGGGCAGTGAGAGGATTCACCAGAGACAGAGTGAGGAGCAGAACAGGCAGAGCCACTGAAATACATTGCTGAGAGGAGTAGCGGATGGTCAAGAGAGGTCTGCTGCGCCATGTGGATCAGCTGCCTGACCGGCGATGAGCTCCTGCTGCAGGGGCTGCCTATAGCCTCATAGCTCTGATTTTTAAAAATCATTTATTTATTTATTTATGTTTACAGAACTGGGGTACAAGCCAGAGGTGTGGTGGATGAGAGGATTCACCAGAGACAGAGTGGGGAGCAGAACAGGCAGAATGACAAAGTACACTGCTGAAGGTAGCAGCAGGCAGGTCAGAAGAGGTCTGCCACGCCATGTGGGTCAGCTCCCTGGTCCGGGATCGAACTTGCGCTGCAGTGGCTTCAGAGAGCTTCATAATGAGATGCTTTAACTCATTGTGTCATCAGGGAGAGCCCATATCTCTGCTTTTTTTAACCCCTTTTACCACTAGGGAGGTCCCCTCTAGAGTTTTGATTTATTATTCCACCAAGTTCCAAATACATCCCAAAATGATGATTTGTGTGTGGGGTTTTTTTTTTTTTTTAAATGTGTGATTTAAAAAAAAAAAAAGATTTGATTTATTTGTACATAGAGTAACTGGGATACAGGCCAAAGGTGGTAGGGTGAGGAGGTAGGTGGTGGTGAGAGGATTCACCAGAGACAGCGTGGGGAGCAAAACAGGTGGATCCACTGAAACACACTGCTGAGGGGAACAATGAGACAGGAGAGGTCTGCTGTACCGTTTTGGTCAGCTCCCTGGCTGGGGACTGAACTATTGCCACAGAGGCTGGTGATAGCTTGATAGCACTGAAACCTAACCTCCATTCTAACAAGGAGGCCCCCAAATAGTGACATTTTTCCAGATAAATCCTAGAGCAGACGTTAGCATAGCATAGTCCATACAGAATTCTGGCCCCCCTCACTGTTTTTATAAATAAATTTACTGGCATGTGTCCCATTCTCTTACTGTCGCTCTTGACTGCTTCCCCGTTACAGTAAGAGCAGGGCTGAACAGTTCCAACACAGACTATCTGGCCCCCAGAGCAGAAAATATTGGTACCCAGGTTTTTTTTTTTATAGAAAGTTTGCCAACTTTTGTTGTGAAAGTAAAGGAGGGGGAAGTTCAGAAAGTATCCATGCCCCACATTAATCACAAAGAAGCTTTGAGTTGCCACCAATAAAAGGAAAAATCATCTGGAACCTCTCTTGGAGATAAGCGAGAAAGCAGAAGGGCCTCGTGATACAAGCTGTCTCCTAGGGAAATGAAGGAAGAGGACAAGGGTTGTTGGCCCTAAAATTGCAGTTTCTCCCGAGTCATTTGCCACATGTGACAATTTAAACTGAACTACAAGCAGAGGTAAGATTGCAGCTTGCGGACCCACCAACCACATAGCCACAGCTCCGTGGACACAGCACTGAGCAGCGTGATCCTGAACAGGTCAGAGTTGCTGCAAATGCTACAGCTGCTTTGGAGATGAGGCTCCCCTCAAAAATCTAAGACCTGCATAGGGGCTGTGAAAAGCTTTCTTGATTATATAGTAAGTTTCCATCTACATCGAGGTTTTTTCATACTTTTGCTGTTTACTTTTTTTCATATGCTGAAACCACTTTTGCTCTAGTTTTGTTGAGATGCGATTGGCCTACAGCCCATGCAGGTGTAGGGAATACAGCTTAGTGACATAGAAAGGGTGAGCGCAATAAGCTGAGTTAACATCCATGAGCTCATATCAATACAAAAAGAAAAAGGCGAAAAGATCTTCCTTGTAATGGGAACTTTTAGGACTTATTCTCTTTGTAGTTATTTATTTATTTGTATAGAGCTGGGGTATAGGCCAGAGATGTGGAGGGTGAGAGGATTCACCAGAGACAGAGTGGGGAGCAGAACAGGCAGATCGTTGAAGCACACTGCTGAGGGGATCAGCGAGCCGGTCAGGAGAGGTCTGCCACACCATGTGGAGCTCCTCTGGGTGGGCAGGCGGGAATCGAGCTCATGCGGAAGCGGCTTTAGCTTCTTACTGCTGTGCTTTAACCCGCTGCGCCACCAGGGAGGGCCACTCTCTTTGTAGTTTTTAAATACACCTTAGAGCAGGGTTAACTATCATCGTCCTGTAGTTCGTTATATCCGCAGGACGTCTTTATCTTCTAGAGATGGAAGCTTATATTTAAAAATATTTTTAATTTGGCCCTCCCTGGTAGCACAACAGGTTAAAGCACAGCACTCTGAAGCTATCCATAGCTACTGCAGCACAAGTTTGATCCCCAGCCAGGGAGGTGACCCACATGGTGCAGCAGAGCGCTCCTGACCCTACTGCTGCTCCCCTCAGCAATATATTTCAGTGGATCTGCCTGTTCTGTTCCCCACTCTGTCTCTGGTGAATCCTCTTACCTCCCGCACTTCTAGCCTGTACCCTGGTTCTCGGATGCATAAATAATTAAATCTTAAAAAAATATTTTTAATTTAAAATATTTTGAAATGTAGTACTTTTTCTTACATTGTTGTTAATTTTTGGACAATGTGTGTTTTCTCTACTCGGGTGTGGTCACCATTGTTCTCCCACCACTAGAGCACCCATAGTTCATGGTCATAGTCCCTTACACTCTTCCCAGCTCCCTTCTCCCCCCTCCCCTCCGGATGCTCATATCTATGGTCAGGTTTCAAGATTTGTCTTTGACCCTTTGTTTAGTTTTTCTATATTCTACATAAAAGTGAAACCACCCACCATTTATCTTTTTCCTTCTGACTTAATTCACCTAGCACCAACCCTCCCAGATCCACCAATGTTGCCACAAATGGCCTGAATTTCTCTTTTCTGCATCACTGATTAGTATTTCATGGACATGCTCCATACATCTGTTTGGGGGCATTTAGGTTGTCCACATATTTTGGTATGGTAAATAATGTTGCTATAAACATAAGCATGGAAATTTTCTTTTGAATTAGTGTTTTTGTGTAGATCCCTAGGAGTGGAAGAGCTGGGTCAGAGGGTACCTCTATTTCTGGTGTTTTGAGCAACCTCTCCACAGGAGGTTTCCATAGGGGCTGGGCCAGTTTGCATGTCCACTAGCAGGGTAAGAGGGTTCCTTTTTCTCCACATCCTCTCCAGCACTTGTTGTTTTCTGTTTTGTTGTTGTTGTTGTTTTTAATATGGGCCATTTTTTTTTTAAAGATTTATTTATTTGTGCATACAGAACAGGGGTACAGGCCAGAGGCTCAGGGGCGGTGAGAGGCCTCACCAGAGACAGAGTGGGGAACAGAACAGGCAGATCAACGAAGTACACTGCTGAGGGGAGCAGCGGGCGGGCCAGGAGAGGTCTGCCACGCCATGTGGTCTCCTCCGGGGCAGGCGGGAATCGAACTCATGCGGAAGCGGCTCTAGATTCTCAGTGCTGTGCTTCAACCCGCTGCGCCACCAGGGAGGGCCAGGGCCATTTTTTTTTTAAGATTTATTTATTTATGCCTACAAGAACTGGGGTATAGGCCAGATGTGTGTGTGTGGGGGGGCGGTGAGAGGATTCACCAGAGACATAGTGGGATGCAGGACAGGCTGATCTGCTGAAATACACTGCTGAGGGGAGCAGCAGGCAAGACAGGAGAGTCCTGCCACACCATGTGGGTCACCTCTCTGGCAGAGGATCAAACTCATGCTGCAGTGGCTGTGGATAGCTTCATAGTGCTGAGCTTTAGCCCGTTGCACCACCAGGTAGGGCCTAAGTTGGACCATTTTCACAGGTGTGAGGTGGTATCTCATTGTGGTTTTGATTTGCATTTCCCTGGTGAAAACTGACCGTTGAACATTTTTTTATATGCCTGTTATCCATTTACGTTTCTTCTTTGGAGAAGTATCTATTTAACCCTCCTGCCCATTTTTTTTTTATTGGGTTGTTCGATGTGTTTTTGAGTTGTGTAAACTCTGTAGATCTTTGATATCAGCCCCTCATCAGATGTATGGTGTGCAAGTTTTTTCTCCCACTCAGTGGGGTATCTTTTTGTTATCCATTTACATTTCTTCTTTGGAGAAGTATCTATTTAACCCTCCTGCCCATTTTTTTTTATTGGGTTGTTCGATGTGTTTTTGAGTTGTGTAAACTCTGTAGATCTTTGATATCAGCCCCTCATCAGATGTATGGTGTGCAAGTTTTTTCTCCCACTCAGTGGGGTATCTTTTTGTTTCCTTTGCTGTTTAGATGGAAGTTTGTATCTTTCCACCCATTCTGGTTTCATTATTACTTCTTAAATATACATGCTAATGTTTGGAAAGCTCTACATTTGTGTTTTTTTTCTTTCAGTTTTTCTTATTTAATTTTCTAAATTAGCCTGCTGATCCATCATTTGAGTTTCAAAGGAGAAAAATGAAAGGGAAAAAAGAATAATAGGAAGCAGGGAGAAAAGGAACCCCAAGAGGAATTTGATTTTGCAACCCAAATTGCAGGCAGCAAAAAGCACAGCATGGCTTCCAGGTAGCATGGGGGACAGGAAGGTGATCTCCCCAGACCTCCTAAGTCCCTCCAGAAGAGCTCTCTGGGCAAATGCCTAAGGCCATGCTCTCTACCCACTCTCCACTCTCCTACTGAGCGAGGCATCTCCCCTTGCCACCTGAGAGTCACTGCAGCATCATTCTTCAGTGGAGCTGACATGGGGGCTTTCCATGAAAATCAGAGCTGCCCGGGGCCCTTGGAGAGGTGTCTCTCCAGTAAATAAGTCATTAGGCAGCAGCAGCAGCACGCAGGGGATGGCGCCCCAGGGCACTTCCGTTTAGAGGCTCTGGGTCTCTTGGGCCACCAGCCGCTCCAGTGTGTCCAGAGCATTGTTCCTGGTGGCTGTTTGGTCTCCTTTTCAGTCCTTCCCATTTTCCTTCGCTCTGGTCCATACCCAGGAGTGTTTTGTGCAATCTGGCTCTTGGCTGGCTGGGTACGCTTCTTCTAACTTTCTCGCTTTCTACTTCCTGCTTGCACACACTGTGCTGGACCTGTGCACATACTGTTCCCTGTACTAGCACACACACACTTCCTATTGCCGGGCCTTCGGACATGCTGCTTCCTCTACTCGCACACACCTGCACTTGCTGCCCCCAGGGTCTTTGCCCATTGTTGTCAATGCTTGACAGCCCTTGAAAGCAGCATCCTTTCAACATCCCTGCACCATAGACTACATTTATCCAAGAGTCATGTCTCTAGAATATACTGTTACAAGCCAATGAAGAAAGGAGGGGAAATTGCTTGACTTTATAAAGAGGAAATTCTAACTTTTTGTTCCCATGTTCTAGGCCTCCTCTGGCTTAATATAAACTTATATTCTAGTTTATACCTTGTAAGAGGATGCTGGGGCAGAAACAGGACCTCCTAAGTGTTGTTGGCATTACCCTACAAGATCTTGTCCACAAAGATGGCCTTTTTTTCTCCACTGCTGACCCCATTTATGAGTGCATCAGCCTTTCTGCACTGGCTCTTTGCCACACTTTCTGCCCCAGGGCCTATACACACGCTGTTCCCTCTGCCTGCATGCTGTTCCCTCTGCCTGCACGCACTGGTGCTTCTTGTCCTGGGGCCTTTGTACATGCGGATCCCTCTGCTTGCAAGGGGCTCGGTCGGTATACTCTATTTTACGTCCTCTTCTACAACTTATTCTCTAATTCTAAATAAAGACAGGACTTTCCCTACACTTTTGAGACCCTGACCCCAGGGATACACATAGTGTGTTTGGAGAGGGCCAATGAAGGCCTCGGCTCTTGTCACAGTTCTATTCCTGGGGTAAGTAGGTGCCTGGTATGAGGACCTGAAGTTTTCTCAGATGTAAAGTGAGAAGGAATATGAGTTTTCTGGAAATGCTATAGCACATGACCACAAAGAACGGAAATGTAGTCTCTGAAAAGACTGGAGGTCAAAAGTCTGAAGTCAAGGTGTCTTCAGGGTCACATTCCTGCCTAAATTCTTATCTCTTCTAGCTTCTGGGGATTCAGACATTTATAGTTTGTGGCTGTCACTCCAATCTCTACCTCTATTGTCATATCATCTTCTGTTTGTATCAAATCTATTGCCAGTCTCTTAGTAAGGATCTTGTATTGCATTTAGAGCCCATCAATAATCCAGGACAACTTCCCTAGTTCAAGAGCTTTAACTCAATTGGCAAAGCTCCTTGTATTAGTCAGGGTTCTCCAAAGAAACCGAACCAATAGGATATAGAAGGGCGAAAATTCACCTGTCACTCTACTATGGGGATACAGCCTAAGAAATGTGTCACTGGCGATTTTGTCAGTGTTTGAAAGTCAGAGCAGTTCACAGGCCTAGACGGCAGTGCACACCTGGCTACCTCAGCCCATTGGGATCGCTGTCAGCTGTTCTGCAGTTGCTGGAATGTTTCTAAGCAACTCGTGATTGTATATTAGAGATTTATAGGAATTTGGCTCACACAGTAATGCAGACCAGGAAGTCCCCCATCTGCCTTATGCAAGCTAGAGATCCAGGAAAGAGTATAATTTCAGCCCTAATCTTGAGATCTGGAAGTCGGGGACTGATGGTGTAAGATCCAATCTAATACTAGATTGGATCTGTTGTCCAAGGGCGTATGACGCGTATCACAGCTCAAACAGAGAGAAAAGCAGTCCTTCCTTCATCCTTTTTCTTCCTCTTGGCTCATGAAGGATGGAGCTACCCTCCTGAACTGCTGAGGGCCATCTGCCTTACTCAGCTCACCAACATAAATGCTGTCTTCCAGGAGACTTTCCCTCAGAGATATACCAGCCATCATGTTTGACCTGTCCTCTGGGACTCCCTTAGCCCAATTAAGTGGCCATATAAAATTGACCATTACAATACCTTTTTGATTAGACCAGAAATCTTTGACAGTCATCTCTGGCCTGTACCCCAGTTCCATATGAATAAATAAATAAATCTTTAATATATATATATATGTATATATATATTTTCCAGTGCATTGCTGTCCATGGGAAGCCCTTGGCTTTGAAACAATGTTTTAAGGTGACTTCCATCTTGGTTGGCCTAGGACTCTGAGGAAACCAGAATTTCCCAAACAAAAATATCTATGATGCTTTGTGTGTGATGGGATTTGCCATTAACCTGTCTGCCACTAACCCATGCTTCCCAGTACCTCCTTACACAGACCCTCTAAGACTCTGTCCTTCATATCATTCTTGCCATTACTCTGCCACAAGCCCAACACTGAGGGACTAGAGCATCTCATTTAGAGTAGCAAAGTCAAGATTTGACCTGCACCCCTCTCTCTGCCAGGCACTTCTAGGTGACCAGTATGGTCCCTGTCCAGTCCCCACACTGATCGAGGAGAAGGAGTGGGAGGCACTGAGAGCCCAGTTGACCACCAGGCCAGGAGACCTGGAGCTAGTGGCTCGACGCTTCCGCAGGGACGAGAATTCTGTGCCCCCCACCTACCTGCTGCAGGCATCAGGCTCAGGGGAGGCTCGAGGACCTGAGGAGGCCACCCTGACGTCCGTGCTGCGCTCGGGAGCCCAGGAGGCCCGGAGGCTGGGCCTCATCACTCAGGAGCAGTGGTATCGCTACCACCGGTCAGGTGAGCCTGCCCTCTCTCCCAGGGTCTCTGGGAAAGACACATTGCCTGTCATTCAAAGGTTCTGTAGATGTCTGGACCTCACTCCCAGACCCCCATTCTGAGAAAGGTCTTTTTACTGATCCAACATATTCCAGCTCCATAGAAAAAAATATTCCGGCCCTCCCTGGTGGCACAGCAGGTTAAAGCACAGCACTAAGAAGCTAAAGCCACTTCCCCATGAGTTCAATTCCTGCCTGCCCCAGAGGAGATCTACATGGTGAGGCAGACCTCTCCTGACCCGCCCGCTGCTCCCCTCAGCAGTGTACTTCGTCGATCTGCCTATTCTGCTCCCCTCTCTGTCTCTGGTGAATCCTCACACCATCCACATCTCTGGCCTGTACCCCAGTTCCACATGAATAAATAAATAAATCTTATATATATATATATATATAAGATTTATTTATTTATTCATTTATTTATATATATATACACCAGCACATTGCTGTTCATGGGAAGCCCTTGGCTTTGAAACAATGTTTTAAGGTGACTTCCATCTTGGTTGGCCTGGGACTCTGAGGAAACCAGAGAGTGGGTTATCCCATGTTAGCCCACGACTTGGCCCCTGTTGAGGAATCCAAGCTGCCCTGCCTTCTGCACCTGCCTCTGAGGGGGGAACTGAGGCATGCGAGGGGGGAGTCTTGTTTGCTCCAAGGTCAGAGATTCTATCCTGTGACCTGAGTCTTCCATCCAGCTCCCAGCACCCACCCACCTCCACACCTCTGAACTCTCCTTCTGCTCTTTCCAATGTTCACACTCAATGCTGGAAAGATTTCTCTAAAACTACAATGTGGTTAAATAATTTCCCCAGTGTTTCCTGCCAGTGAAAAACAGGTTCTTATTGTTTACTATTTTCGTAACATGTCAGTGTATGGATTATTATTATGTTCATTTATATTAACAAAAACATTGGATTATGAGTTTATATTAAATATAAGATACCATAGTTCTAAAAATATCATATATGGATTCGTTTTAGTGACATAAGTTTATATTATCAACATTTTAAATATATGGGTTTATACTACCCCAAGCTATTAAATTTATGTAGTTATATTACTACATGAATATACGAACTCATTTTATCAGTGGATTAAATATATGAATTTATATTACTAACATACTAAGTATAAGGATTTATTTTACTAAAATGATTAGCCATATTAATATGTGACTAAATATATTAAGTTTCTCTTAAAATGTAAAATATGAATTTATTTTATCAACAGAGTAAATATATGAATTTGTATTATAATGTTAAATAGATAAATTTATATTATTACCCATTTCATATGTGAGTCTATTTAAATATATTAAATGTAGCAATTTATATTAATATTACTTTCATTTTGGTAATATGCATTTTTATATACCTAATTATAGCAATCACATAGCAATTTTTTTTAAACAGGCTCATTATTTGGGAATAGTTTTAGATTTACAGGAAAACTATAATGTTATAAAGCTACAAAGAATATAGACTTCCCAAATGTTGGCCACTCAGTTTACCCTACTTTTAACATCTTTGCAACCACAATACATTTGCAGGAATTAAGATACTAACTCGGGTATTTAACATATGGCCAAGTCTTTATTAACTAGATTTCAAACTTTATTTGGATTTTAGCAGCTTCCCCTAGATGTCTTCCATCCTAGAAGATCTCCTACCATCCCCCCTCCCCCCAGAGTCTCACATTCCATGTAGACAGCACAGCTTCTCAGGCTCCTCTGGGCTGTGACAGTTTTTCAATTTTGCCTCATTTTTCACAACTTTGATCACTCTGAGCATTACTGGACAGGTGTTTTGTAGCATGTCTCTCAGTCTGGGTTTCTGTGATCAGACTGAAGTAATATAGGTTTGAGGTCTTCCACAGAGAGGAAGCGCCCTCGCCACCCCATTATATCAGAGATCCTTGGTGCCCACCTGACATCACAGGCAGCATTAGCTTTGATTCTTATGTCAGCATTAGCAATAATAAGCCAATTCCCAGTGCACTGTTTATGTGGATAGCAAAGGCTTCTATTCATTGAGCATTTACTATGTCCATGTTGGTTGTTCTGTGACAAAGTCAGTGTGCTAATTGCTTTCACAGAGATGTCTGCCATTGGGGACACCTTAACTAGCATCTGGGGTCCCTGCTTGGGGCAAACCTAGATTGGCAGCTCAGCCCTGTTTCTTTCCATTTGTATTGACTTAGGGCTGGCTCAGAGCCTTGGTTTCCTCATCTGTAAGGAAGAACTAGTCAGAGTTTCCATCATGGAGTCATTGCGGGAATCTAAGGTATTTTGTTCTAACCACGACTTCGTTTGTAATGGCAAACTCACCTCGTTAAGAAGTCCCACTTAAAAGAACACACAGGAACTTCTTGAAACTAGCAGAAAACCCAAGTCCACGGACAGGTCACCTAATGCTCCTTTAGACCCTGCTATTTTTCATACTTTTACTCAGCTTTTTTCTTTCTTTTCTAATTGATTGTATTTATTGCAACTTTTAAAAGCTAAATGTGACTTGAGTACTTTGTTACCATTTCTAAAACTTGTTCTGGTTATTTTTTTGAACCGTTTTTAAACATGCTTAGCTAGGTTTATAATTTTGCTACGCTCCACAGTACTTTTCTTTGGAAATCAAATATTATAGAAAATTCTACCAAGGTGATTTGGTTAATTTCTAGAGACCTGCAGTTGGTAACCACAGGGTACCAAAGCTTAAAAAACCTGATCTAGAAGATGAAAGCTGTTTTAACAAATATTTACCCTTAAAGATCAACTATCAGAACATTTGAGTGACCAAAAGTTTGGTCTACTAAGGAATCTGCTAATTAACAAGTCAGACCACAAACTGACTTGCATACATTTAGGTTATGTATGCTTATGAAGATATGTTAAGATATGCCAGCATTGAATCTAAAAAATAGCTAGCTCTGCTCTAGCACCCAGATCATCATAGTATCACACTTAGAAGTAGAAAGAAATCTTATCCTCCCTTAAGCAGTTACTGTTACCCTACACAGGTTTTGTTTTTAATATTTAATTAAACTTTACTCTGACTTTAACTTCTTTGGTGCTCTATTTCTGTATATACCTTTTTTTGGGCTTGTTTGTTTGATTTAACTGATTTTTTTGTTAACAAAGTACCATTTTCTTACATCCTTCTTAATAGTTGGACAGTATAGGGTTCCTCCTCTCAAGTGTGGTTACTGTAGCTCTCCCTCCACCAAAACACACATAGTCTATTGTTCTTTGTGCCCCCCCCCCGCTTTCTTAAATGTTAATAAAAGGAAATAAGTCCTTGAAAATATATTATCAGGAAATGAAGATAAAATTCTGAGCACAAATACAAATAAATCTCCAGGAAGAGCTTAGTCGACTCCACCATGCGTGATGGTGTCTCCTTAGCTCCTTCACCAGCCACATCTCAGTCACGCAGTGTTACTATTATCAGGGTTATGGTCCATAATAAGAAAAACCAAGTTTGCTCATCTTGTGGATTCTGTTAGCATGTGCCTGGAGATCTTTCAGACTGAAGTCTTAAGACAGGAGTTCAGTTCCACATTACAACTCTCTTTCTAGAACCAACTTTTATTTTGAAATAGAGATTCACAGGAAGTTGAAAACACATGGGTGTGTGCGTGCCACACACACACACACAAACCAAACACAGAAGAAAGAGGTTCTGTGTAACCTTAACCCAGTTTTCTACAAAAGGTAACATCTTACAAAACTGGAATACAATATTGCAACCAAGAAGTGGACATTGTTACAGTACAGCAAAAACCTTCAGCACAATCAATAGGGCTGTTGCAGAACCTGCAGATTTCTCCCTTTAATCCAGAGAACCATGTTTACCCCTCCCCCATCCCAGCCCCTGGTAACTGCCAATCCAGTCTCTGACTTCATAATTTTATTTCAACAATATTTCAAAGAATAGCCACATCTCCCTCCCCCCCCCCCCCCCATTAAGTTGGACTCACACAACCCTGTCACAGAGCAGGAAACAGAGCTGCAGGGATTTGCCCGAGGTCACACTGCCTGCAGGTGGTCTGGGATGGAGTCATCCCAGCCTTTGGTCTGGCCTCCATTCCTGAGCTGAGTATAGGGTCACACCAAGGACCTTTGAGTAGCTCTTATCTTTAACTCTAAGTCTAAGTCCTGTCTCCAAGGGCCTGGCTCACTCAGTCTCAGAGAGTCAGGAGCCTCTGCTGAGCCCAGAGAGGCTTCGAAAATAACTCCTCGAGTTTGATTGCTATTTCAAAACAATGGCCTCCAAGGAGAAGTCAGTGTGGGCTCTGGCTCTGGAAAATATGGGTCCTCAGGGCAGCTGTGTCATGATCTGGGACAGGATAGGCAAACCATGACCAGAGGACTAAACCTGGCGCTCCTTTACTTCTTTTTTTATAATAGTTTATTTTTACATCATTTTGTACTTTTTTCATGTCAATTGTAATCCCCGCGGGTTTCCCATCACTGAGTCACCCATGTGCTATCACTATAGTCCCGTGCACTTCCCTCCTTGCAGCACCCCGCCCCGTTTTTGATCCCATTCCCCACTCCACCCCCACAAAATGTCTCTGGTATATGGCTGTTCATTATTATTATTTTCTCACCTGATCCATTATAATCCTACTATGGGCACTCCTTTACTTTTTTTTTTATTTATTTTATTATTTTTTTAATTTATTACAAAGTTTATTTTTACATCATTT